TAGTTATCGTGAAATCTTAACTAACTTTTGTGCCAAAATATGGATCCCAACATCATGAGGTTTCAACAGGACGGTCCAACATGCCACACAGCCAGAGCAAATGTTGAGTTACTGCACGAGTCATTTCCTGGTCGTGTTATTTCTCGTTTTGGAGATCGGCATTGGCCGCCCAGATCATGCGATTTAACGCCTTTAGACTTTTTTATTGGGGATTTTTTAGCGTCACAATTTCATGTGAACAAACCAACAACGATTGAAGCTCTAAAAGATTAAATGCAACGCTGTATCCTTAAAATACCGCAAAATTTATATGCAACAGTCCTTCAAAATTTCATGAAAAAAGCGCGTCTGCACCAACAAAGTCGATGCGGTCATTTGTCCAATGTCTTATTCCATTCATAACCTCTTAATCTGTACTTCATTTTTCAATTAATGTTTCAAACTTATGTCACAAATATATATGTTTTATTTAAAATTTACATCCGTCGTTCTTATTGGAACACCCTTTACTTCTTCTGAATCCGCCATCCCGAATGTCGACGGTTGGCATTCCAAATGACCAAGGTAGTTTCAGAAACTGCTGCTCTAAAATTTTTACTGATGAGCAATCATGGACACACATTTTGGACATTTAATTTGCTTGTTGTTCTGTTTCTTAAAATAAATCGGATGTTTTTAGACTACAGAAATTTGAAGAAAATAATCAGATCAATGTGAAAAAAATAATTAATTACCCAATTTGAAGATTTCTAGGTAACTGTTGAGAATATAGCACATTCATATTACATTAAGTTAAGTTTAAGTAGATTGAACTGATAAAGTAAACTCTACTCAAATATATGTAAAAAACGAAGATTTATTAAGTATGAGTTTCTCAAATACAGCACTCCTCGATTTTATGGGCGATGTCCAATAAAATAAAATACTTTAATAAATATAAAATAATAGTTAATTTAGATGCAACAGGCATAAAAATTTAACAAACTAGACATGTAAAAATGTGAGGGTGTACAAGATCCTGTAATTTTTTTCGTGCCAAGGTAAATGGCGAGGGCACAAAGCATGGCAAACAAATGGGCCAGTTTGTAAAGAGGCGAAAATTAGCATTTTATCTAATATGCACTAAATGAAAGGGGAGCAACATGAAGATGAGTTATGAGCGGCGGGCGACTCGTTGATTTACTGCGTGGAGGCAAATGGAACCAGTTTAGCATGACGGACACAATAGGCCCATTCGTTTGGAGATAAAGTCCCTTTACGCGAGGAACAATGCATTTTAAAATGCTCTTTGCAACTAGTTCCGAAGAACTCACTTGTTCATAACTAACGTAGAAAGAAATTGAAAGCTAGTTTGTTTGGAGCTAACTAAATGAAACTAATTTTTAGGGAACACTAAAGTGAATTGTAGGTGATATAAATTGACTAGAACCTGTTAGCGAAAGGTGAAAAACACTAATTGGATGAATCAAGTACGTGACTTGTAACTTTCAGTCTACGTGAGAATGATTGAACAAAGCATTTTTCCTAATCTTGGAACAGTCGGTACAATAAAAAAAAGATTCAGTTTTAAATAGTAAACTGAAAATTAGCAATACCTAACAAGATAGAAATGGTATACAATTAACGAGCAGCCGCGCGTTCACACCACATTTTGTCAAAGTGTTTCATATAGTGAAAGGATAAATCAGCATATAAAACATCAACTAAATAGATAAGTATACCAAGAAAATATAATAGACAGCGAAAGTCTACTAGGAAATGCTACATATAATATTTACTCGTTATGTCGTTTACTCGTTTGTTCGTTATGAAGTTTTTGGTTTTTCTTTCTTTTTTCTTTCTTTCAATCTTCAGAATGGAGGCAATTTATAACGTTGAGAAACTTGACTTTAAGCAATGTCCAGTGGCGGCGTTAGGGGTGGGCGAGCGCCCAATCAAAATTTATCTCGCCCAACTACTTTTAATCGCGATGTAAGTAATTGCGAATTAAAAAATCTGATGCAATTCGACCATCATGATAGTAAACGTGAAAACATTCCGAGTTGTTCGAGAATTGAAAAGTAAACTTACTTAATATTAATAAACTATTTTCTAATCTAAATATGGATACTTGTTTCCTGCTAGGACAAGAGCCAAACATTTTCATATAGAGAGAAAATAAGTCATTGATTTGGCTCTATCGCTACATGAACTTTTAAGGCAGCCGGTCTTAGGAAGTTTTCTTAAAAAACAGTATGGTTATGATCTTTGTAGCTTTAAGTCCTGTTATTATATCATGTATCCTTGGATTAAGTAGAGCATTGTCAAAGGTGCTGTATTACGTTATCCCTTGTAGATTGTTCTTCAAACATGGGTGGAACTAGCAGTTAAAGTTTTGTTACTGAAGGCTACAAGAACTTGAAAAGAGCGGCAGAAACAAAAGCTGGGTTTAAAAATATGATTTATTACATTTAACCCATTTTTTTAACCTTAGAACGTGTTTATTTCTTTTGCTAAGCATTAATAATGTCATATAGTTAGTACCACTAAGAGGTATGAAGTCACAAATAATCTTTAATATTAACAGTTTAACAGATCTAACACTTATTTTGCAATATTTTGGTTTAGGCTTCCATGAAATTAATATGTAATATTGCATCTTCTACTGCAAGTTGTGAAATATATTTCAGCACTTTAAAGAGAATTATTTAAGAACAACTATTAGTCAAGGTAGGCTTTCTGACTTGGGCGTTTTGTTTGTTGAAAAAGATATTGCAAAAAAATAGATTTAGAATTAATTATAGATTCGTTTGATGCTAAGCATAATAGAAGAATGTCTGTTCTTATCTAAAGTTTTATTCAAATTTTGTAATGTTTCTTCAAATTTTATAATGTTATAAATTAAATAATTATTCATTTATTCCTCTTCTAAAGTTTTATTCAAATTTTATAAGGTTATTCGTTAATATAAATGTTTTAAATCTACTTTCGTTTAGTAAACTGAATTATTCAATTAAAAAAAATGATTTGTTTATAATATTTTTTATTACAATGCTAGTGTTGTAGCGAATTTCATTCAGCATTTGTTTCCAACATAATAACGTTTGAAAAATGGTTCACAGTTGTCAAATCTATTTTTGAAACATTTATTTCGTTAGTCTACGAAATTAGATAAAAGCTCGTACAATTTTTGTATTGTAAATTCATATTGGGCCCCTCAAGGTATTGTCAAACTCTGTGTTTGGCAAACACGTGTTGTTATAAGTGCTTACTAAAAATAAATATTTGCAACGCTTGTATGTTAAATAAAAATAACTAAAAAATATTTTACATTATATTCAAGAAGAAAACAACAAATTTTGTAAAATAGATGTATTATATTAACAACTTCTTTCTGGAGAACACTGGGACAATACATTTGGATTGCCAGTAGCTTTTTTATACCGGAACACCAGAGCTGTTATTAAATACCATCAACCAGCAAAGTTTTAAAAATCCTAAAAAATTTCGATGAGTTACGTACAGAAGTTTGCAAATAACCTAACCCGAATAAGGGATAGAGAACGCTGAAATCCTACCAAAATGTTTAAATATATTGTTACAAACAGCAGACGACTGAACAATCTAGTTTTCATAAACGAATCGCTGACCTGCCGAGTATTTTCCAAAGCTCGCAACGCAATCGCAACCTTCAGAAGAAAGCAAATGTAAGTAACATTAAACACTGTATAAGAGAAATATTGTTGATGACAGCAAAGCTTCAGCTGCTTGGTTCTGTGAAGAAAATGCTGTATTAGTATCGAAGCACTTTTGATTGTGTAAAAAGATTCTGTAAAAGATTACTTGTGCGATTTAGCAGTTGTACATTATTATTATTGCCCTAAAACGTGCTTCAATGAGAAGGACAGTGATCAAATGTTGTTTGTCTTGCGAATTTAAATTTTGTGAAGAGGAGTTTGCGATAGGAGGTCATTGTAATAAAAAGTGCTTATAATACTTGAACAATTAATTCCAAACGGTGCTTTTTTGTGGTATATAAGAGGTACAAAAACAGTTCCCAAAGAGAAGGGGCAGGGTCTAAAGTTTATCTGGTCCTAAATGATTCTTCTTCTTCTTGCTCGTTGCAAATGAGCAAACTTTCCGCATTATTTTACGTTTACAGTCTTTCCAGAAGTGTAATGTCGTCATGCGAAGGTATGAACTCTTTTTCTTCATTGTTTTACTTCAGTACTACACAAACTCTCAAACTATGTTTATAACTCCTTTTTGTAATTGTATATTGACTAGATTTTACTCCTCTGTCCCACAAATAGTGTACTTTGTTTTCCTACCAAAACTGAATAAAAAATCTGCAACTAGAAATCGTTTGAGGTTCCAGCAAAATAAAACGACCTCCACCATAACATTCCTGTAATAGACTAACTGTTTCTTTGGTGGCTCAGGAAAATATATAGTAGGAAAGGGTCGATGGAATGGCCACTAAAACACCCGTTTGTAATCCTGTGAACATTACATTGGGTTTTTGAAGAGGAAATATTATATAAACGCCCCATGACCTGGAAAACTAGAAAAGAACAAAGGTTGCCGAAATAACATTAGAAAATATGGAAATGATTAATAGGAAATATATATAGAAGTTTTTTATATTTAAAGTTTGATCATTTCATGTAATGTAACGTCTCCTTTTAAATAGTTCTACTAAATAAAGTGTTGAGTTTAAGTCCTAATGTTGTGCTCTAAAACTAAAAATGAAATCTTGACAGTTTCTGTTTTACAACATTTTGTTATTGAACATATCAATAACTAGGACGAAATATTCCGATGGTTGATTCTTATATATGCGCAACAGCTTTGTCCTCACGGTGCAATAATTTCCTTTGTAGACACAACTTTTCAATGTTAAAAACGCATATGACCAGTCAGTTTTATAATTAGCGTTTAACTGGAGACTACAATTTTCCAGTTGATCGATCTCAAAGCCAATACAAATCACAGATTAAACTATTTGTTAGGCTACTTACTGTAAATCGTCGGCACCAAACGGACAGCCATCGAATATCTCTAATTCGTTTCCCCATTGGTAGTCGCAGGATTATATCGGTGTTGTTGTGGGACTTCAGAACCGGCGGATCCCTGAAACAAAGCCATCAATTGCCGATGAATTTCATCCGGAAAATGCCAGATAAACCAGCTAAACTAAATCGCACCCCAAGCTGAAACTCTCTGTTATTATTTCTGTTTTTATTTTCCAACGGGGATTTGGAAATGTTCCAGAATTAGCGATAAATCGAAACGCAATCAGCAAAATTATTAAGTGTTATAGCAAAGTATTATTAGTTTGCAATTTGAAAAACAATAGCATCGTTTTTGAGGAGGATTTGAATTTAATGGAGATTATGTACATTTCATGCCTAATAACGAAACGCAATTGTATAAAATGTATTTAATTTTTCGTTGTACTTATCATCATTCTTTACTTAATTAATTACTGTTTAATTATATTCTTTATTATTTGCTTCTTAATGGAAAAACTGCAAATTACTTCCACGTTTTTAATAACTGTAGATCCTGAATATGTACAACCGCCAAATAAGAAGAAAACATATTAAAATATGCAAAAAAATGTTGAATAAACGAATTAAATTCAAGAGCAATAGCTTTAAATGTGACCATTTTAAGAGGAAATGAATGATGAAGAATATAGTTGCGACAGAAACGAAACTAAGAAGAACTAGAGCATGAACTGGAAAAGGTAAAAGTTCACGTTGCGAAAAGAAGAGACTTACTCGAAAGGTACGTTAGTATGAGAAACTTTGTATAAAAGTAAATTTTGAAGTTTGAATTTTGAAGTGAAGGAATACGACACACAACAAACTATCATTAGAGCGATCTTTTGGAGTATTACAAATGCAAAAATCTTTAAAAATCATCATAATCTCAAGTAATTAAAACTGCGGAATCTTCTTCATAACAACGTAAACAACGTACAAAAAGCAACATGATTTTCTTTTGCTAGTGATACATTGGTGATTTAATTCGCAAAACATCGAAGCTTTATAAGTGGCCTGATACAGAAACCTTGATTAATTATTTAAACTAAGGAAATATCTCATTTTAGTGGAATATGGGGCAAAATCGAGATGACATAAATTTCAACATTTGAAGTTCCTTCATTTAATAGGACAGTTATCGCTCCACATTTCCCCAAACGTGCATTTAAGAATGGATCGCATAATTTATTACATAAATTTACACTTATACTCGAAAAGAACTTGAAATTTGGCATTATGAAAGCAATTTGGACTAAACGAATCTCTGCAGAAAAAAATGAAATTCAAATAATTGCACATTTTTGCATCGTAATTACTGAATAACGAAGCCTTCTCAAAATAAGCTTGGGGGTTTAAGTCGGATCGTAAAAAAGACTTATGCGACAAGCAAAAGCGTTGTTAAGGAATACAAAACAATCACGGTAACGTTTAGGAGGATTTCAGAAGCTCAAGGAAAATCGATTCACTTAAACGTTGACAAGGAGCTGCTGGAGTAATCGCTTTCTCTGGATCAGTACATGATGTACATTTTATAATAAATTGAGAATAATTTTACTTACTGATGATTGCTATTAATGTTTTATAAAACGAAAATAATGCTTTTAATACATATAATATAAAATTAAAATAGAGAATATTCTTTTTTTCTAGCTGGACCAACTATGTTTTCGCATGTACTCTAGAATTAATTTTAGTGAAATAGGTTTATATTTAACAAAATAGTAAGAAAAGTAGAATTTGTTTCAATGGGAATTTAAGAAAGTGACAATAAAGTAAGTAAAATTTTTCGCAAATATAATTTTTCCATATTTCTGGACTAGTAAGGAGTTCAGAAGCATGTTTTAAACGCATTTTAATGGCACACTGATTTAAACTTATGCTTTCAAGGTAGTTCAGATACATAAAGAACAGTTTATAAGCAATATGGAAATCTATGGTGTCTTAAAACCGGGTATGCACAAAGCGGTTTAGCTTACTCTTTTCTGTAGTAAAACTTATCGAAAAACTGTACATCGTCATTGTAGTTGAAATGTGACTTAGTTATAAAACGTTTACCCGTGCAAGATAATATAGAAAAATTGCCTTAAATTTTTCTGTAGCAAGGAGCAAAACATATGTGGAAAATAGAACGAAATAATCCTCGAAGTAAATTTGGTACAACTAGCAAACGCAATAAAAGTAATTATTCAACCGTATCTTCGAATTTTTCAAGGGTTGATTAACCTCAATGAATTACTTATTTAGACTTTTTTATTATGTAGTTAATTATTTTTACTTTCTTGATAAATCCATGTCTGCCTGCCTACTGTCAAATACGTTCTTTAATCCTTTAAATTCTTTGTAATCAGTCGTCAATAGTCAGTCTATGTTTAAATAATCTACTTACTTTCCGAAATTTGCTTTCTTTGGCAAACTTTGAAATATGTTACTTTAAACTAAAGGAAACAAGATAACAATAAGCTTCAAGTATCTTCAACAATTCACTTCAGATTAACCGTCAATGATTTTGAATTTTTTTTTCTGCTAGATAAGGCAGGTTTTATATTAAACAAAAATTTCCACTTTATTACCTACTTCAAATTTTCTATATAGAGTTGATGAAATTGGTGTCATTGCTTTGAAGGAGTTAAAGGGGCACACTTGAGAACACGGGAAAAACATAGAAACATTTTTTTCCAAAATTTCTAGGAGATGTGAGCAGTTGAGAATCGAATTTCCACTTTGCTAATACCTCTTACTTTGAATTGGTCTTATTAGAATACGTAAGCATACCTAAAGAAAAACCTCCAAATTTTTCCAATTTATTTGCCCTATTGCATTGACCATACTCTCTTTAAAATCTTTCATATTTTAACGTCTTTTTCCCGAATAAATTTGTACCGCATATTTTGTATGCACATAAATTTCGTGCAATTTTAGTTACGTTACCAAGTTGGCCTTTGTTGGTAATGTTATCTATTTTCTTGATATATCTTGTATCAGAAGAAAATTTCTATCAACAGAATACATGCTGTTTTTTATCTTAAGCCTCTTGTAGTGTTGAATACTCTGAGTCACTTTTGTCCTGTTCATTTGACTCATTTTTGAAATTTGCTACATTCCAAGTGTTGCTTTCAGCAAAAAGCACAGTGTTCGCTTCATGTTTTTTCTTAGTTCTTTGCTGCTGTTTCCAAAATTGATTTTATGGGCATTTTTCCTTCTTCCTAAAATATTGCTTATGTTTTGTTATAAGGTCGTGTTTCTTAAAGTATTAAATTGATTGCATTATTTTTTGGGTTCCACCTTAGAAAATATTCGAGTAACAGTAGGAAGAATTTATTAGAATAAGAGTTTGTTTCAATATAAGTGTTCAGCGATTGTATATGTCTGCAGCTTTAACTAGGATCCCTAGAGTTGCAGGAAGCTGTATCTTAAGGCTTTCTTGGGTAAAATTAAATAAGTAGGAACAGGTAAAACTTCTACAACATGGCAAACCGGCGTTTTCAAATATTGGGAAAATCGAATATCCTACCCTAAATAATTTTCCCAAATAGAACTAGAACCACGCACATTAACTGTTGTTGAATCAATACGTCCATTGACGTTTCAATTAACGGCGATCAGATATCGTCATCATTACCCATGTAAATCCCATAGTTAATAAAATCTACATATCAGAAATAAACAGCATGCCAAGCGCCCCAATTGGGAAAATCTGATACTGTTAAATAGGAGTCTATTTTACTGGCAGTTCATTGTGTCCATTTAAATGGAAATGAGCTACTATCCCATCGGACATGGGCCTTTGTGGGGCCTTTCTCCTAACAATCACTGTTTTGTTCTTCCAATAGATTGTGCTGTCTCACATATTTCAATTCTTATTAAAACGTTTACTTAAGGCTTTCTACTAAATCGCACTGAAATGTATATGCAAAAATAAACTTGATGCATTAATGGATAATCTAAAACCTAAATCTGAGAACCGTTTATTTTGAGAATGGTCCACTCGCAGTTGATTAAATATTTGGAAGGGTAAGGGTGTTTGCCACCCTTTCAAGAAGCAGCCACTCGATGGGTGGCGAATACTTAAATCATCAAACGGATACGGATATTACCATTAGGATAATTGGGGCCGTCCCCTTGTGAATATTTGTGGCGAAATGCATTGGGGCATCATTCAATGTCTTGTTCTCTGCAATTATCTGGTGGGGCATCATCTGTTGTGGGAACAGGTCTAAGCTGTGATTTACGCTACTGCACTATAAGTATATTAAATTCTGTATTGCCTGATTGAAATATTCAAAAAAATTTTTAAGTGCAGTTAATTATAATAAAGCTTGTTGTTAATTTGTTCCTATATAAGTCTCGTGTTTTGATGAAGCAACCGAGTTGATCCGATTTGGGCAGGTGAGGAATTCTTGAGTGTCTTGATATAAAAACTAACAGCACTTTTCATTTGGAAACTAAAATCAGCTGATTGTTTTAGAGTTGATGCAGCAATCCTCTGTTAACATTTTTATACTCTTCAGTAGAGTTCACAGTTTTTGCGTAAAAAATAATTTTCCGTTATCTTGCCAACTGAGAATTTTAGAAATTCATTAACTTTTTACATTAACAAATCTTTTTTTTTTTGTATTATCAGGAAAGCGGATGGATTTAATGAAACTCGCTATGGATTTGTAACATGAGTCTTACCTAAAAACAAAATCACAGCCAGTTTTATTAAAATAGCATATTATTCTACCGATAATAAAAAAGTTGAACTTTGACCATCAACAGCGGAGGAGCGAGACATGTTTCTTAAAAAGCTTTTGTTAGATTATCTTCTTTTGAGCCAAGGAATGTCGCATTGCCCCTTTGATCATGTTGTTACAGGGCAACCTGTATATCTGAGGTATTATTGAAGATAACAATTCTCATGAATGTTTCTAAAATTTAGAAATATTTGGTCTTTTATATATTTTAGTTTTTAGCAGCTAAATTCTGGTAGTTTTGCTTGCGTTTATTGAAAAAAAAATTAAATTTTGTGTACAATCTTTGTATGAAGTGATTTAATTAAAAAATATTTTACGTGCTCAGAGCTTCAAGTGGCTCAGATATCTG